GCTATGCTAAAAGCTGCGTCCTTACCAGGAAACAAGCCAATTTAAATGAAGCCAACCAATTCTGCCAAGATGAGTAGTCACATATCACATATCCAGCCAGAATGATGCCAGAAGCTCGTTGTGTCAGGGTTCTGGGTTTTCTCTTTGTTAGTCTATAGTTTATTTCTACAGGGTCTAGTTTCTTGTGGTCCTGGTTTAATTTCCCTCTCCCCTGTGTCTTCCTCTGTGTGTTTAAGTTTATGATGTGAGTTCTTGTGCCTTGTGTCCACTCCTTACGTTCCGTGTTTCCCTCATCCCGTCATGTCTGTGCTTCCTCTCGTGCCCCTCTGTGCTCTCTCACTCACCCTATCTCTGACTCACCCTCCAGTCTGTCTCTCTGTCCTCCCCGTTTTGTCACGTGTGTAATTGCCCTCAGCTGTGTCTCCCAGCTGTTCCCTGTTCTCCTTGTGTATTTATTGTCTGTGCTCACCTCCGTTCGTCGTCGCGTCGTCCCCTCACACTGTGTGTTTCCTCCGCGCTCCTAGTTCCCTGTGTTCCCAGCGTAGCGCTCTCGTGTCTCTGATTTTTGATTCGAGTTTCTTGTTTATGGCTCCTTGTGTTTAGTGTGTTTTTCCAGCAATAAAGCTGCCGTTTTGCGTTCATCCCTCCCCGCGTATGAGTCCTGCGTTTGGGTTCTCTTTCCTGACAGCCACACAGTGAAACATGACACGCTGATGGTTACCAGAAGTGTCCAGTCAAGGTGCAACTTGTTAAGGGACTTTTAACCAAATATTAGTGGGAGTGTGTGTATATATTTGAGCCTCTATGTATACTTTTGACCCTGTGTGGTTTAGAAAAAAAAGAGAGCCAACTCAAAAGTGCTAAAGTTACTTTACTCACTATTTGAGGCTAGGTGTCAAATGATCCAGTCTCTATAGACTCTAATGGTAAAATGTCATACCTCAGCCATGAAAGGAACGTTTACAGGGTGTTTTGGGTCACTGAAGCTAATTTCCTCCTTTGTAACAACCCAACTGATCTAGACATAAATATTAAGACTTCAAATTGAGTTCTTGAATCAATGAGTGATGTTGCACATGCCGTCTCCATCTTTTACAAGAAGTTTATGATGATTACATTAAACACAGTTTACATATAAGAGCCAACTGAATCCCAAATTTTCTGTGCCCATGGTATATTTTCCTTAGCCTGGCACTGCAAGACAAAACAACAAATACAGATTCATCTGCAGATTTGTCTCTAACCTCTGAGTTACGTTTCAATATTCAACGGGCGTTATCAATGGGTGCAGCTGCTCCGGATGCAATAAGAAAAACCTTCAGTCATGACATATGACGTAGTAAGACTGCTGTCATATTTGTTTGGTTATCAGGCTGCCTGTTCCTTTGAGATTGAGTAAAATATTGCCTTTTTTTGTATGTGTTTGTATTGTTAAGCTGTAAATCTGAACACAAACACACACACAAAAAACAATCTAAATTGCTCATCTTTAAAATGTTACTACAGTCACTTAAAGTGGCTCCAGGACAGCAGTAGGACTTTTTTCCAGTTAAATTTAGCTCTAATACAACTTGTAATTTAATTTTCCAGGGACACATTATGTGTTGTCGGCTCCTCGCAGAAAGTGAGCTGATAACAACTTCTCATCAGCCTTTCTTTCTTTCTTGCAAGCTTTATTTGGTTTCTACATCCCACAGCTAAGTGCTTCTGCTGTTAAGATCTCAGACTTGGCCTCGTGTTTCCTGTCATTTCTATAGGATCTCCACTTGCAGCTGTTGCACTGTAGTAATGGAAACGTACTAGTATAGCTGCTCCACTCAGTCCCTGCTGGCTGCAGGCCTCATTAGAGCTGTGGAAGGCTCAATGGTCTGTCACACCACATCTCTCTGCCAATTTATCGAGGAGGTAGGGGTGGCCTTTGCTGCATTGTTGTGGGTGAGAGAATGTGTGCTAGGGTATCAGTGGGTCACTGTGTTAGAGATGTTCATTGTCTGTCTCTCTTTACTGTCTTCATTTCATCTTGTATCAGATCCTTTGGCCTTCATTCACACACAGAAGCTCAACAGCATCATCACACTATATATTTCTGCGTGTTCACCAATGTTATGTGAAAGCTTTAATGGGGAAAAAATGGGCTGAAATTGCCAGTGAAGTTTTACTTATGGCGAGCATAGTTTATTCAGTCTCCCCATCCATGATCACAATAGATGGTAATTTATGCTGTGGGTAAATAAACTGTTGACTTTTTACTTTCGTCTCTTTTGCAGCCTGTCAGAAAGTCCTTGCATTTTTTGGGGGGCATTTTTCATCTTATTAGAATTCCCTGCAGGCATTATCCAAGGACGCTCTTGTTCTCCAGGTGGATCATTTCAGCTGTCAGACCACATTCCTGCAGGAAACATTGTAAACAACACGTGAGTGGAGTGACAGAGAGAACTGCTTTCGTGACAGTCAGGAAAAGAAGGAAGTGTTTGTTGTTTAAAATTAGAAAAGCCCAGAATGCATAAAGGACAATGCAGCATGCATGCACTGGTATACATATACTATGCTTAGAATTCATATCATCCTACTAACTAAACAAATCTCTGAAACTTGTGAAATTTTAAGACTACAATGATTGAGATGGCTCCTGGCTTCTAGCAAGAGCGTAGATATTTTTAAAGACACAAATGCACGATGGTGACGCTTGAAACACAACGCATTATTGCACGTTATTAGGGCTCATTTTCACTCGATGACTGCTTTTATATGTCTAGACTACCTTGTTTTGATTACCAAGGATAAAACAGGTCATCATCATCAGCCAGCATGCATTATCTTGCCAACCTATTTAGATCTTACCTTACAAAAAAGAGAGAGACCGGGCTAAGGCATTATAATGACAGTCATCACAGCCTATGGAACAGGTATCTAACGTGAGAAATCCTTTCATCCTTTGCCTGAGTGTATAACCTCCGAAGAAAGCTGGGGCACTAACATATAAAAAAACAACAGCAAAAAAACCCCAAAAACTGTAAACAAAGGACCCGATACTTTACAAATATTAAAACAGAGAGCTCAACTAGTTTAAGCTCTTCGCAAGTGTTAAAATGAGGTAAATATAACCTCAGATGAACTACAAAACATGACGTTTTTACACAGTCTCATTATTTATTTGACTAAAACTAAGCCTAAATAGAGAAGCAGTGTGTAAAATCTGTCCAGCAAAGCTTGGCCCAAATTGGATGATAAAACAGGACAATGAGGAAACGTACAACATGATGGCTTATGAAAAAAAAGAACCAAAGTGACCTATTTTGTAGGGGTGCAACGATACTCGTATCGATATTGAACCGTTCGATACAGTGCTTTCGGTTCGGTACCATATGTATCGAACAATACAAAATTTTCAATTTATTTTATCAACTTTTCTTCTGACGATGCTGTCTGTGTTGAGCGCTCAGTGGATCTGCGCTCGACAGTGCAGCCTAGGCGGAGTAGTTGAACGCAGATTCATTGAGCGCAGGGCAAGCTAGCAGACAGAAGTTAAGCTCTCCTTACAACATGGACCTCCCCCACCCTTATTCAGATCTGGCGTTTGGAACTATTTTGGTTTTCATGTGACGTATGACCCTGAAGGTAAGCGCATCATGGACAAAAATAAAACAGTATGCCGGATGTGTCACATAATGCTCAATTATATTGGTGGGAACTAGTGTGTTAGTTAGCTCGTTAACGTGTTGGCCGTCCAGCCGCACGCATGAGGCGATCAGCGGTAGCTCGTTAACGGAGATTTGCCGTGTTGTGGCGTTAACGTCATTTCAACGAGATTAACGCTGACAGCACTAGTGGGAACACAACGAATATGACTGCACATTTACGCCGACATCATCCTAGTGCAAAGACAAGTGGAAGCAGACAAAAACAACAAGCACGCATGCTACAAACTTTACCCGAGTCATTTAGACAGCCGTTAGCACATGATTCTCCTTATGGGGACCTGATATGTTTAATATGCTGCTGAGAATATAGCCCAGAAGAAGCGTATAGTATAGCTTTTATTTTGGAAAGAGCCATTTCTCTGTAATAAACTCTCTTTTCCAAAGATGAGTGATTTCTCGATCAGATAGATTTTTTTTATTACTTTGTTGTTTCAGCAACATTAAATTTAAAAACTGTACTTTTGAGTTAAAATATATATTTATAATTTTAATAAATGACAAATTAAAAAGGCATGAACATTTTTTTGTATCGAAAAAATATCGAACCGTGACACCAAAGTATCGAACCGAACCGTGAATTTTGTGTATCGTTGCACCCCTACTGTTTGAGCAGCTGGTGCTTCTTTTTCTAAAAAATAAGTTTGGCCATTATCAGCAAAGATCTGTAGAATACTGTTGAATACTATACAAATGGACAGTGTTTCTCACTTTTCATAGAATGTATTAAGATACAACAAAACAAAAAACAAAAAAAAACCCCAGCCAGGTACAACAAATAGTTTATAGTAGGCCTATTCTACAGCTAAGTCTTTGCTGTATTATTCAGCACAACTAATACATTGTCAGCCATGTGTAATGTAGTTAGATTCACCCTTTAATCATTGCATTTTTCTTTTGGAACACTATTCTGTGAACATATTTCTACTTTAGCTAAAGAGATTTGATGACCCGACGAGCAGTCACGAGATTATAGTGTCATGGTGGTAATGATTTACTTTAATGTGGGGAGAGACAAATCAGAAAAAGCATATTTAAAATTTTTTTTCTCCCCTCCTCCCGGGTTATTCCTATAACACAGCAAAACACCCACAGCTGCCTTATAATATCATTTGAAGTGTTCCGTTTATTTCTGAGGAGGAAATTTGTTTTCGTTTTTCATGGTATTGCCCCTGGTTAAATGTGAAGGAAATGACTGTCACATCCAGCGTTTTTTGATCTTACGGGAATATTTTTATGTTGGTATCCCGTGTTTCAAGTGCAGAAAGCAGAAATAAATAGGTGACTCTGGGTAGGAAGTATTGAAGAAAATATAATCTGATTAAACATTATTCAGCTTTAAACATTGTTCAGCTTTAAAGTTACTGTGCAAACTGTGTAATAAAAATGTGCTCACGACTTTGGCCTTGAGAGCGATAAGAAGCGATCGCCTCATCCTGCAGGTGCAAGATATCTACACGCCGAAGAGGCTAGATTTCCTTTTATGGAGTTGTTTTTCTGCTAGTGCAGCACTTCCCCCTGTAAGTTTTAGAGAATATATACCCATCCTCACAGCAAATCTTTGGAATCTCCTGATGTGAGCTGTTGTTGAGAGGTTGTCTCTGTCTCAATAAAGTTCACTGATTCCCCATCTGCAGGTGTCGCTGTTGTCTTCATTCTCCGCCAGCCTGGTTAAGTCAATTCCTCCTTAACATCTAAAAGAACCTATTTAATGAAGGAAGACGGGTTCACTCTGTGTTTAATATTATTCTATTGTTGTTGTTTTTTTTATATCCTTCAATTGGCGTCACGAACAGGATCCGGTCCAGGTCAACTGGAACGGACGGGAGGACAATCGGCCGTGGTCTGAGTGAACAGAGTTTGGACAAAAAGTTGCGCGCACACAAAAACAAGGTAAGCAGACCTTTTATTTCTGCTATATTGAACATTATAAAATACTTAGTGTCCAAACTCCTAGTAATTCATAACCAAAATTGTCTGGCTTACTTAAGGCTTGTTGAGAATCAGACAAGTGAATAAGAGATAAGTGAATAAGAGATAAGTGAATAAGAAATAAGTGAATAAGTGAATAAAGATAAGAGTGAACTGAGGTCTGACCACGGTTGCAGCCGACGGGTTGCTCTCCGGTGTCGGATACATACCTCAGTGCAGGTCTGGGACCTTGAAAGGGTTTATTAGTAACGCCTTTCTAAACAATTAAAAGGTTAAAGGCCTTGAGAATATTTTTTAGTAATATTCTCTAAACTACAGAAGGGTTAGGAAGGCCCAGAGGACTTTATTAGAAAAGATCCTCTAAAACTTAAAAAGGAAAAGTACTGGTTGGAGTCCAAAGGAGGGGTCCCTTTGATCAATAGGAGAAAAACGGATCTCTTCTTAAAACCCCGATGATTTTAGTGTTTTAAATGTTTTGATGTTCTGTTTGATATTTGACACACATAAATACACGCTGAATGCTTGCTGTGGAACACTGGGCAGGACAGTTTGGTTCTCCGTTGTTCACAGATTACACAATTAAAGGAACTAGGTTCCTCTTTTGGTTAAAATAATACACCACACATAGAATTTTTTTTACACATTTATTACATACATAAGGAGGGTAATGAGTGACTGCAGGTAATGTATGAAGTGTGAATGAGACGTGTGAACAAGGTGACAACCAACTAGCACCCCTATCAGGAAGCAATAGGCAAGGTTACCCGCCAGACTCCGGTTTGGTAGAAGCTTGGTAACACCTGAAGGGATATTTCAGTGCTGACTCACCTTTAAAGCAGCGCCCCAGCTGTTAGTGCCTAACAGAGGCAGAAACCCAGCTGGCCCAAATTCTCCTTTAAAATCAATAAAACAGCTGAAAAAGTATGAAAGAAATGTTGGGTTTGAGTCCCTGGATATTGAGTTGAAGGCTCGGGTAGTTTGGTAGGGAAATTAGGACAGAAACTGTTCCCAGAAGTAACAGATACTGTTTGATTGATTACAAAAAGTTATCTTTCTTCGGTGAGACCCGTTATATTAAATTTGTCGAAATTTGTTAGGTGCTGAATCTGTCAGGCCTGTCAGTGGTTGTAAATATAAGACGTCTTTGTAATATAAAATAATAGAGTCTTGTCTGAGCTTTGTGTGACCCTGTGTGTAACGTGGAGCGGCGGCGCTGAGGGCTATTTTTAGACTGTGTGTGAACATGCAAATGAGCTGTGAACTACACAGAGGACTTTTGCTTCCTGTTTAGTGTGTTTTGTGGGATTTGCAAATAATGATACAAGCTCGTAATAAAAACGCTGGTTTTGTTGATTATAATAGTATAAATAAGGATTTGAATGACTACGCTGAATGTTTGATGTTCGGCTGGATTTTAATATAGAAGAGATAGATTGTGTTTGAGTAAGACCGGCACTTCAGTCGGCAGAGTGTGATTGTGATGAAAATGATATTAAATAAATCTCTTAAGTGGGTTGATACAGGTGGCTACGGGCCTGGACCACCCGGCCCCATAAGCAAACAAAAAGTTAAGTTAACCCACCTACAAACGCACATACACGCAATGAAGAAACAGCTTACACCCATGAACAGGTGAAGATTTTCCAGCAAGTTTAAAGCAGCGAAGCTTAACATACACCCGCCGTTATCCACTACTAACGAATAAACTCTCTGGAAATCACTGAACATGGGTCAGAATTATTCAAAGACCACAGACAGGTCCGATAAAAAATCTAAATTACCTGTAAAGCCAAAAATAATAAAATAAAATATAAAGTCTCAAATAACGGCTCAGTGCGCCTCCCACTTCCGGTTACGTGTAACCTACGTCCGCGAATCGGTGAAGACGTCCATGATCACATATCCAGAACATGCGGAAGTACTTACGTGACTGACTTTGTTTACAACTTAAGAAGTTCAATGCATTCTAATTATTTCCGGAGCCCTTATCCCGAACGATAATCGCCAGAAAACAGGTCAGTAAAACTGAAGGCCAGTGCAGATACTACCACGAAAGCTAAAAGTGTTAAGATAAAGTTGAATTTTGATGTAGAAGTCTCAGAGGAAAGTGAGAAACTAACGTATGCAGGATCATCCGCTCCAGCACAGCGAGGAAGTTTCAGAGGACGGAGAGATAAAAGTAGCGGAGCTCTTCCAGTCAAGGTAACTGGCAACCACAAGCTAGAGGTGCAAATTTAGCTCAGTTTTCCAGCAGCCGCAGACACCCAGAGCAAAAATGAATTTTTGTATTTCATTTAACACAAAGGGTGAAATGTTTGCTGACACTGATAACAGCTTATGTTTTCTCTGCCTTATGCATGATGGAGAATGAACATCCTCTGTGTCAGCTGGACCCTCAGCAGAGAATGAACTCAACATCCTTTTTGTCCGGTACTCTATGTCACACACTGTGACAAACCAGTGAAGATATGACAAATTTAGGGGTTAGAAAAGTCAAATTGTGACAAGTTTTCTGCCGATTGATAAATATAGGTGATTACTGAATGGAAGAAAAGGGAAAGAATGAGGGGAGTAGTGGTAACTGAGGAATAATTTGGCAGAATAGAAAGAGGGAGAAGCCAACTCAGCAGCAGCAGGTGCAGATGTGATGAGCAGGGGGAGACACAGAAAGGAAGCAGATAAGCACGCAGGCCGCAAAGCTAAATTTAATCACTGGGTGTGTTTATGGGAAACTGCGAAACCACCCACATTTTTGTTTCTCTCACACTGATTCAACCACATGATAACTGCTCACACAAGTGAAGGTCAAACAATGGTTTTGCCAGCTGAATACCAGAATATGACATTATGGTCAAAAATGAGAATGATATAGGATTTATTGACTGTACACTTTATCACACACACCTATTAAAACACAACAAGCCAGTATATGTCAAGCAATGTCCCATTTCTGCCGAAAAAGCCGCAGCCCTAGATGTCATGATAGGAGATTTATTGACTATAGGAGTAATAAAGCCCACACTCCTGTCAATCCTGTGCCAAAGCCTAACAAACCTGGCGTATGGCGTTTCATAAAAGAGTTAAGGCAAATTAATGCAGTCAACATTGCTCTGCCACCTCTCGTTTCAGATGTTCACAGCATATTGACATGCATTACATGACACATTTTACTCGTGGTGGATTTATGCTCTGCCTTTTTCTCAGTACCTGTGCATGAAGACACACAGCCGTTATTTGCATTCACACATAGAAATAAGCAGTACACTTGGACTCTTTGCCCCAAGACATGATAGACAGCCCTGCTGCTTTCTCAATGGTGGTCCGTGCTACCCTGGACAGCTTCACTCCTCCAGGGCTGTACGGGATGACCTCCTGCTCTGTGCTGAAAGTGAAAAAAACTATGTCAAACTGCTACACACATGCTTCTCCAGCACCTCCAACAGACTGGCCACAAAGCATCAGCAAAGAAAATGCAGTACTGTCAGACTTTGTTCAATATTTGGGATTCACACTGTCTCACGGAAAACGTTCCATGACTGCAGACAGGGTCAAAGCTGTGACCTCTGTCCCTCGGCCCACTACACAGAAGGAAAGTTGTCCTTATTAGGCATGGTGAACTATTGCAGACAGTGGATACCAGACTGTTCTTTTCATGACCACATTCTGCGTGACTGTTGTAAAAAAAGACAAGCCTCCTCGAATACTGTGGTCCAGAGAAGATGACTGCCTCTTTAAATGCATTAAAGGGAGTGCTGACCTCCCCCACTCAAAGGTGCTGCCTGTGGGAATGCCGGCCTGTCTGAGAGGGGTAGCAGCTTGCGCTATCATGATAAGGGACTGCGAGAAGCTTACACTCTCACATGACACTATTCTACACACCAATCACCAGGTCACGACCATTGTAGCGGACATAACCACACAACATATGCAAATCTCACTATAAAAGCGAGCAGCACACATGATTCGCCAGGACATTTATTGATACATTGCTGTGTTCTTCTGACCGACGGGATGGCTCAGACAGGCTTGACGATCATGACTGCATGACATGTATAAAGGAATCCAAAGGAATCACGTCCAGATTTAGAGCTCATTTACATTTAGAGGCCAACAATGGCGTTACACTCGCCTAACACAGGAACTCGATTTTGCACCATCCAAAACCTGTAAATGTAAAAGACATGTTGTGATTTTTGGGTCTGACTGGTTACAGCAGGACCTATGTCCCAGACTATGTTGCCCTTACCTCCCCTCTGCGCGTTTTGGTAAATGAACAAGGCATGAGAAACCTATCTGCTCCCCTATCATGGACTACAGAAGCAGAACAGGCGTTTATACAGTTAAAACAACAGCTTTCTGTCGCCTCTGACCTTGCTGTGCCAGATTACACTTGCCTTTTGATCTTGATGTTTCTGGAACTGGAACCCATGTCAATGGTATCCTGTTCCAGAAAAAAGGGGGAGAGAGAAGAAGAAAAGTGTATACATATGTAAGTGCAATGAAGAAAGTGAGAAGAAAGTGAGAAGAAAGGAGAGCGGCAAAGCAGAGAAATGAAGGATGACGATGAGAAGAGGGCGAGTGGAAAAAGCTGGGTGTTGGAGCTAAGCTATAAAACCAGGAGGGGGGAAACAGAGTGATAGGAAGGGAGGAGTGAGGCAAGGCTGCAGAAGAGGTGTGAAGACTCATCTTTTTCTGGATGGGTGTGAGTTAAGGCCGGAGCAGAGAGAGGCCTGGGAGCACAGCATAGCCTAGTGGTAATAAACCAGGAAACCCCAGTAGAGAAACAGACAACATCAGCTATAAGGAAGCTATAAAGTGTTTTTAAAATCAAAATATAGTCTTCAGTCTGAGCTTGATATCTTTAAAGTTGATTGCTAGCTAGTTTACTCTTATAGGGAAATCGGTTAAAAGGGACCGTTTCAGAAATTTTAGAAGTCATGTTTGTTTTTGTACATGTTATGAGATATTTAATTCATAATAATACACATATCAAGGGAAATTCCAGTCCCCTTGACATATTTTGTTTTAAATTGTATAAAACAGTATTGTGTCCATAGCATAAAATGTAGCGTACGGTAAAGGAAACAGTTGGGTAATCAATTGAATCTAAATAGGTTTCAGTATTGAACAGCATTACAGCAAATATACAGATGTTTTTCTCGGGCTTTGCAGCCAAAAAAAAAAAGAAAAATCTTTTCTTGCACAGCCGTTCCTCCAGATGACATTCCATTTTGTCCAGGAAAAGAAATAATCATTGATTACACAGACATGGTGGACAGAGTAGGTAGTTACAGGTACCTGCTGGTGGCTGTGGATGCATTTTCAGGTTGGCCAGAAGCCTGGCCGACAGCAAGTGAAAACAGTGGAACTGTGGTGAAGTGTCTGATTAATCATTATATACCACAGCATGGGTTTCCCGAGGTCATAAGGTCGGACAATGGTTCACATTTCAGGAACCACGATCTGCAGAAGGTTGAAGCCGCATTAGGTTTGAAACATAAGTTTGGCTCAGTTTACCACCCCCAATCCCAGGGGAAAGTGGAAAGGATGAATCAAACTCTAAAAACTAAATTGGCTAAAATCTGTGCACAGACCAAATTAGATTGGGTTAAGGCATTGCCTCTTGCATTAATGTCCATAAGATGCTCAGTAAATCAAACCTCTGGTTACACTCCATTTGAGTTGGAGCATGGCAGGCCTTTTCCTGGCCCCTCCTCTCGCCTGTTAATGTCGGATGAAGCTGATTCAGACCTCGATCCGAGGACATATTATAACATGCTCCGCAGTTTTGTTGCCCAGTATTCCTCACAGGTCGCGGAAAGAAACCAGCAAGAGCTGAAAGAGGAGGCTGCACCTGGAGTGGACTACGTCCTCCTGAAAGTCACAAAGAGAAAGTGGGCTGAGCCTCGCTGGACAGGCCCTTACCGCATAACAGAGCGGACCTCCCACGCTGTCAGGCTCGAAGGGAAAGGTGACACCTGGTTTCATTACACACAGTGCGCTGCTGCCACCGAACCAGGAAGAACTTTGAGAGAGGTGCAGAAGGACCTGTCAGAAGGAGCTGCAACAGCATCACCAACCACTTGAGGGAGCCAAAACTCAACCTACAAGCCGGCTGGTTACAAAAGGGGGTGTTCTTCATACTGAACTAAACATTTTTATTTTTCTATTTTTAACATCTTTTATGATTTTGCTTTTATATTGGCTTGAGTTGTTAAGATTTACATTTTACATTGCAATAGTTTTAATCGCTGAAAGCTCATTTAAAGTTGTGTCACTGATACTTTTTGTTGCTCTTTAACTCCTAGAACACGCCCTTGGCGAGGTGGGGGGAACTGGACCACGTTTCTGTGCCCCATCATCTTCTATTAGAAGACTTACAAGCTAAGTAAACATGTCTTGGCCCTTTCCCCTGAAATGACAGGCAGGCAAAGATGTTCTGTTGTATTCCATGCATTCGATCCCTCTTCCAGAGACTGATTGTTACAGCTCTCACTCCGGAGGATAAGGATCTCGCCCTGCAGATGCCTTTATTGGCTAGTCAACTTCCCACCTCCTCGCCAACGGATGATGAAGACTCTGATCGTGATGATGACGAACATTATCGTCTTTCTCTTGTTTAAATGCTTCTAGAATGGTTGTTTCTCTGTGGTGTTTTGTATTAGGCTTGTTATTAATTGTTTCCCTCACCCACTTCCTCTTGAAGGATATATCTGGTTGAACTGTGTCTGGTCGGGTTGTGAGGGTTAAGCGATGTTCTCAGGGTCTCCGGACTTAAGCCTGAGCGAATGTGTACTCCCACCACTGGATATAAATTGTTTTTTTCCACACCCCTTCCTCACGTTTTACCATATTTACTTTTTGAATGTCCTTAGCAGTTACCGTTCTGGGTTTATTTTACTGTTGATTTATTCTTTCACATTTTCACGTTTATATCTCTCATTATTATAGTATACTCTGTACTCTCCACATTTTTATCATTACTTATGCTTTTTGGTTGCTGGGTTACATGAACTGTTAATTTTGTGTCACTACCCTGGTTGCACTGACTCGTTGTATCCTTGTGTGCAGGACAGCTGTTACTGCTTTCGTCTGGAACCGAGACTGCTTGCAGCCGACCCCTGGGCAGGGTGGTGCCTGGACTCTTTTCTCCTCATCTGCAATGACAGATAAAGACAAATGATAAGACCCGAGGAGTTTTTCGAGCCAGGCTTCGACACGTCTCTGTGTTCCTTTGAATGTTACTTATTTTTGTGTGTTGACCCATTTTAAGATGGGTCAAAAGGGGGATTTGAAGAAAATATAATCTGATTAAACATTATTCAGCTTTAAACATTGTTCAGCTTTAAAGTTACTGTGCAACTGTGTAATAAAAATGTGCTCACGACTTTGGCCTTGAGAGCGATAAGAAGCGATCGCCTCATCCTGCAGGTGCAAGATATCTACACGCCGAAGAGGCTAGAACACCCAAGGCCGATTTCCTTTTATGGAGTTGTTTTTCTGCTAGTGCAGCACTTCCTCCTGTAGTTTTAGAGAATATATACCCATCCTCACAGCAAATCTTTGGAATCTCCTGATGTGAGCTGTTGTTGAGAGGTTGTCTCTGTCTCAATAAAGTTCACTGATTCCCCATCTGCAGGTGTACGGTTGTCTTCATTCTCCGCCAGCCTGGTTAAGTCAATTCCTCCTTAACATCTAAAAGAACCTATTTAATGAAGGAAGACGGGTTCACTCTGTGTTTAATATTATTCTATTGTTGTTGTTTTTTTTATATCCTTCAGCATACACTGATGGAGAAAAAAAGGTCAAATACAACCAGGAAATCAGGATTTAATAAAGTGTGTTTAATTGTTTACGGCTATCGGTGAGTTTGCTGGGTGGTAAAAAATTACCATCCATCCATCCATTCGCGTCCGCTTATCCTGTTCAGGGTCGCGGGGGGCGCTGGAGCCTATCCCAGCTGTCATAGGGCGAGAGGCGGGGTACACCCTGGACAGGTCGCCAGTCTGTCGCAGGGCCAACACACAGAGACAGACAACCATTCGCACTCACATTCACTCGCACATTCACACCTATGGCAATTTGGATTATCCAATTAACCTATCCCCACAAGTGCATGTCTTTGGACAGTGGGAGGAAGCCGGTAAAAAATTACGTCACTCATATATATATATATTAGGGGTGCAACGATATTCGTATCGATATTGAACCGTTCGATACAGTGCTTTCGGTTCGGTACGCATATGTATCGAACAATACAAAATTTGTAATTTATTTTATCAACTTTCCTTCTGACGATGCTGTCTGTGTTGAGCGCTCAGTGAATCTGCGTTCGACTACTCCGCCTAGGCTGCACTGTCGAGCGCAGATCCACTGAGCGCTCAACACAGACAGCATCGTCAGAAGGAAGAGCGCAGGGCAAGCTAGCGAGACAGAAGTTAAGCTCTCCTTGCAACATGGACCTCCCCCACCCTCATTCAGATCTGGCGTTTGGAATTATTTTGGTTTTCATGTGACGTATGACCCTGAAGGTAAGCGAGTCATGGACTAAAGTAAAACAGTATGTTGGATGTGCCATGCAATGCTCAATTACATGGGTGGGAACTAGTGTGTTAGCGCAGTTAGCTCGTTAACGTGTTGGCCGTCTAGCCCCATGCACGGGGCGATCGGCGGTAGCTCGTTAACGGAGATTTGCCGTGTTGTGGCGTTAAGGTCATTTCAACGAGATTAACCTGAAAGCACTAGTGGGAACACAACGAATATGACTGCACATTTACGCCGACATCATCCTAGTGCAAAGACAAGTGGAAGCAGACAAAAACAACAAGCAGCATGCTACTAACTTTAGCCGAGTCATTTAGACAGCTGTTAGCACATGATTCTCCTTATGGGGACCTGATATGTTTAATATGCTGCTGAGAATATAGCCCAGAAGAAGCGGATAGTATAGCTTTTATTTTTGAAAGAGACATTTCTCTGTAATAAACTCTCTTTTCCAAAGATGAGTGATTCCTCAATCAGATACAGGGCTCGCAATATCGCTAGCCCGACATATAACGTAATAATGCGTTGTGTTTCAAGCGTCACCATCTTGCATTTGTGTCTTTAAAAATATCTACGCTCTTGCTAGAAGCCAGGAGCCATCTCAGTCATTGTAGTCTTAAAATTTATTTTGGAGCATGAAAATTGATTTACTTATATACAGACTGTTAATATATTGGGTACTCTATTATTGTCTATAAATGTCAACTGTACTTTATTGTTTTAAATGTTTGAAATAGAAAGATGCCTATCCATCTATGTAACTGCAACTATGTATCACACTTGAATCTCCAGCTGAATGTCTGTGGACGAGCTGATTGTGGAAATTTAGGTATCACATTTTGACACGGAGGAAATGTGGAGTTGAAAAAACAAAGAAATACAAAAAAATCAATATTTCTGGTTCTGCTGCATTTATTTATTTTTTTGCTGTTTTCCACCTGTCGGCTACGAGTCCACTAAGCGCAATGCTAAATTGGTCGAGTGCACCCACACTCACAACAACACCCACAGTTTACAGTGCGATACTACCTTGTCTCATTAAAAAAATATATCTTTGCAATAAAGCTGTTAGTGGTCGTTCTTTACATAGCGATGAAAATCAGTGGCTTGAGAATATGCGCAAACAAATCACAAAAATAAATGAGAGTATTTTCAAAGACATTCTGTTTACATCAGGCAGGATATCAGAATCACGCGGGTGCCACTGAGAGCACAAACAGTGTTGTAGCTGAGGTGCAAGTCTCTCTGTATGTAGGTCAGAAGGAGAGCACAGTCTGGAGAACAACTACAGCGCAGACTTTTTCTCACCTGTAGGGAGTTCCTTCTTTCCAAGATAAATAGGAAAGTGGAGGACAGAAGAGATGCCATGATCAATTATATATTAAATGCTGATTTACAAGGCTGGCTTCAGCAAAAATCTTATTTGAAAACATGCTTTTGGTGTTGCTGCAAGGTAAGTTCAATAAGGAAGATCTGTAATCAGTCATCTGCTTGCTTTCCTGGATGTTTGGCTGATTTTCTGTTCTGTACATCACTGCTGCTTTCCCACACTGTCAATCTCATTACTGACATCATTATTTTAGTCCAGTCATCTTTCTGCACGCCTTCTTTGCGCCAATCAGCCCTCACTTTGCATGAGGGCTGATTGTGCTATCTGTCATGCAACCCACCTCCTCCCCATCTCCTCCTCACAGACACCTTAGTCAGTGCTCCATCCAAGCCTTGGTCTTCATCTTCACCACCACTAGCCTCTAGACTCTGCGGCGTCCTATCCTAAAATCCTATTACCGCTGGGATTCCATTCTGCCACCCTGGGTCATTGCAGTCTAATCGCCAGACATTAATTTCTCTTTCTAAATAAGTCATGTTCAGTTCTTCCAAGTGATCTCTCCTTACTGAAATGCCTGGATCATTGTTAGTGTTCAGGGTAGTACAAAAGGCTTCAACAGAAGTTTTTTGCTGTCTGAAACAGACATCATGATATATAGGACAATAGGATTGTAGACGTGTCTCTTGAAAAGAAAGGAAAAGCTTGTTTTATATTTTCTAACATGTGGTTAATATACTTAAGGGGTTAACTTAAACAAAGGCATTTTTTCCTTAACCTAACCTGCTAAAATCAAAATGTCTGAAATTAAAGTGTAATAGCTGTTTTACGCAGGACACGAGTGCCTGGTCCTCGTGAGAAAGCTGTAATTTCAAAGTTGAGCCATTGTTGGTAGATAAAGAATGGCTCTGGGTATTGGTTAGATCTTACCCATTTCACAAAAGGCGACTATTTTTGCTCACTCTTTGTCTTTCTTGCTTATCAGCATCCCCTACGAGGCCATAAATTGGTAATAGCAGCAGGTAACCAAGTTGCAGAGAGAAAATTGCTAGCTAAAAAGGAGACATGCTAGTTTTCTTTTAGTCACTGTAATTTATTTTTAAAAGCAGACACAACAGCACGTAAACTATGTTTTTTGTGTGTTTTTTTAGCAAAGAAAAAATGATAAAGTCCACTTGACTATACAGGTAGTCAGGAAAACGCTGACAACTTTTCCCCTCACTTCAGGTCAAGAGTCTGGTTTCATCTCCAAAAGTTGATTCTGTTCATCTGGACGTAGCGTTTTGTGGGAGAAATGTTTCGTCAGTCATCAGGTTTCCCCAAATCTTATAAACAATAAATTTGCATAATGACTGAATGACTAAAAAGAAGTCACTTGGATGAGTGACGAAACGTTTCTCCCACAAAACTCTACGTCCAGATGAACAGAATCAACTTTTGGAGATTTACTTACCTGGATGATTGAGAATGCATCAAGAAGTCTGGTTTCTTTTTTGAAAGTATGCTTTCTTTTCAAGCTCACATCAGTAACATCACTAAGTCCTCTTACTTCAATCTTTGTAACAATGATTGCCTCAGTCCATCTCTCTCACAGTACTGACATCCGTATTTACACCTTGTTTATGTCCTCCATTCCTCTCAAGTCCATACATAAACTTCAGCTGGACCAGAACTCTGCTGCTGGCATCATCACCAGATGATCAAACCTGTCCTTCAGACGCTTCAGAAATATTGTACTCATTTAAAGATTCTGTTTATCACCTTTAAGGCAATCCATAACTTTGCAGTGCATTAAATCTCTGAAATGCTGCATGTCAGCGCACTCGTGCGTACTCTCAAGTCTATCCCTTCCCCCTGTTTGGCTACCATGGACCATACACCCTCTCAGCTGCCCTCCCACCAGATACTGGCAACAATCACTCTCTCCATTTTCAAATCCCGTCTCAAAATGTCCCTCTTTAAATTTATTGTTATAATTATTGTTAATAGTAAAGGACAATGCATTATAATATTAATATTGTTAATATTATAAGTATTATTATTGCTATTATTGGTACATTTATAAGTATAATCTTTTAAGAATGGCAAAACCACCATGATATTGCCCATTCCCATATGGAAAAGATATATACAAATCTTATAAAGTTTGTATCTGTCTTGTGTGAAACTTGTATGAAAAGCATACAAGAGTGAAAACAGATGTAAGATCCCTTGAAAAATTATATAAATGAAACTTGTATGTTTTGGATGCTTACTAAAACAATATATGAAAGTAATGAGAAAGTGGCCACTTTCACGAGTAAATCATATAAGCCTTATATGATTCACTATATGAAGTAGGCCACATCTTATGCAAGTCTTTACTGTTTCTTTTCCATATGGGTTAGCTTGTGTACTACCATTCTGAGACCCTGAATTTTTGCATTTTGATAGTCGCCTATGTTTACAGCACGATCACAATGTTGTGTGCTGTCATCAAACCTTGAACTATATCAAAGCTATATGGGAATATGTTTTGCATGCATGGACACATTATAAGTATTGGTACGTACGCTGATGGTATTATTAAAGTCTGGCTCTCTTCCCCAGTGTGTCTTTTGTCCCGTTTACCTCTCTTCTTTTCCCCTCCCTCCAACCCGTAGTGGCAGTTGGCTGCCCATCCCTGAGTGTGGTTATGCTGGGGATTTCTTCCTGTTAAAAGGGAGTTTTTCTTCCCCACTGTCACTGAGTGCAACATGACACCCCTGAACAAACACAAGGG